GAAAACGGCACTGTGACCTGTGGATGGTCAAGTACTGTAGGCGTTACAAGCGATGCCTCAGGGCCGTTGACGGATGGAGACCGGCAAAGAAGAAGAAGTAAAAAAGAAATGAAGAAGATCACGAGAGGAATGAAGCAGGATAAACAATCCCACTATATAAAAGTGATCTTCGGTAGGGAACCCAGTGTGTCGTCTCACCGTCTACCTACTGTTACAGCTCTACTTTTTTGCGCATCCTAGGATAAGAAATTGCATGGTGCTTGCTTGGTTTCGCTCAGTATCGGAACCAGTGGGCCTACAGTCACGAAGAATGGCGATGTTACTTATTTCTCCCACCCTACGCCCGTGCATTTGCGTGCGTGAGCGACTACCGTACCCTACGTTTGAATTTAGCTCGCCACTAAACTTCACAGGTTACAGCGGTTTGTAACATTTTTCTGCGCCGTATTTCATTACAGGGAGAGCGCTAGAGTTGCAGCGATAGCGATAACTACTGTCTGAGAGGAGATTTCAATGGTAAGTTACCCAGCTTGAAAAGAGTGTCAACGACCGTCTTCTCAGCAAATAAGAGGAAATAAACAAGGGCTGCGAACATGGTAGTTCATATCCTCAAAAATGAGGCAATGTAACAACAACAGTTTCCAATTAGAAACAAGGGTGCGCATAAAATCTGCACATCTAGAACGTCGTCTTCAGTACCGGTTACAACATCTCGCGGTCTTTAAGAAACGGTGCTAAGTGGATTGTGAAAAAACTTTCGTCCCGGGCGGGACTAGAACCCGCACCTCTCGCTTTCCGGGCAAGTGCACTACCAGTAAGGCAAGGTGCTAAGTGGGTTGGAGGGGTGGGGGCACGCGGCGGCGCGGCCCTCTGTTCGTCCGCTCCTCCAAGGCTTGGTCCAAAGGGGTAGTTACGATTTCGTCACCACGTGGCAGGTTCGAAATATGGCGTCATCGCGGGACTGAGCCGTGGAGGAGTAGAGGAACAGAGCCAGGCCGCAGGGTGGTCCCCCCTCATAGCACCCAAGAAAGTAACTCATCAAAGTTTCTAGTCAAGATCTCAAGTTTCCCTTCGTGGGCTAGGTTCTATTTGCTGGTTGGAAATTTTTGTGCGTAAACCATAACATTTATAGATGGAACTCCGTGCTGTTGGCACTGAGACGCTCGACGCCGTTTCTCAGACCATTACAAAGCACAGCTTGCAAAATCTCCTTACGTTGGAATCCTCGATCTCACTCGATCGCACTACTGGTGAAACTTGTCGCTCACAAATACAACTCCCCTCCCATGAATTGTAATTACGACTCCCGTCCATATCAGACGAATGGTTTACCCCGATCAGAGTCACTAGAGCATGGTGCAAATAATTCGCTCCTCTAAGAAAGTACTGTATCAGCTATATTCTCCAAGCGGTATAAACTCAGCTGATCATTAGCCGTTTTCACCTGTGATGTTACTGTCATGGCTAAAGTGCAGAAACCCAACGCCACGGGGAAAAGAAAAATTGCTCGCCTTCTCCTCGAAATCCCTACCCTTCCTTAAGGCTCAGTTCCAAGTATTTTAGGTGCTCACTCACTTGTATGTCCCCCCCCCCTCCAACGACACGTGCGCCCGGATTTTATGTTTGCTGGTTCTTATTTGCTTGAGTGACAGCTGACGACCGCTACTCTCGATTCATGATCATTCCCTTCTATGTAATATAGCCCCTTCCTTGATCGCACTGTATCCAAAGACCGGCGCAGTTCACACGAATTCAAACCCGCGCGCGGTAATATGACACAGTTCGCACCAGGGTGAAAATCGTGTCGAGGAAATAACCGCCTCTTTACGACCCCCTCCAAAACATGAACTCTGATACGACCCCTTTTTGTCCTCTGCACATCCGGTTTCATATCAAAAAATGCTAGTTTCAGATGTGCGAGAGGGACGCAGCGCCGCTGCCACGCAAATGCGGCTTGATCCAAATGCTAGATTCAATTCTGCTCAGATTAGGTTCTCCTTCTTTCCTTTAAAGACATTTAACCTTTGCCACATTGGCCGGAAAGTAGAACATTGAAGGAGGTACTGCCCCTACACAGTTGAACAGTCTCGCGCTCCAGTATAGCGGCGCTAACTACCCGCGATCGCGTCGCGCGCTGTGCCTAGAGCGCGCTAGTTGGAAAAAATCGTCAAATGTACCCCCTATTCAAAGGACTATAACTTTCTTCATTGATAACCATTTCAGAAAGTGAAGGCAGCTTTTGAATGCACAAGACTTCTAGTTTCTAAATTGTGCTGAGCGTTTTTCTAAGCACGCCTATTCTCGAGAGTGGGAGACGTCGAGAAATTGTCGAGGAAATTGAAATTTACATGCGAGTTCCCACTCTTTGAAAGGCAGTAGCTGTCTTCATTGGCAATGCTTTGAAAATCGGAGGAAAGCGTTGTAAAGTAGAAGATTTACGCTTTCTGATAGGTGCTCCAGTTGTTTCGAACGCTTTCTAGTTTCGCGAGAAATCTGCGTCGAGGAAATGTCAAGGAAATTTTCGAAGCCACTCGAAAACTCTATTACTCCCTCGCCGTAGTAGGGAACTTCTTTGAACACCTTCAAAATACTTCTGTACACGTCAGTTCGATGGAGTAAATTGAAAATGATGCACTTGGCGCGGATCCATTCCGTTCTTGTATGCGCCATGCAGTGACCCCACTCGGAGTCATTGGGAAGGTGTTTTGTCCTAGTGACGACTTGCTTAAGCACACCAAAAGATATTTCCAGTATTAACTAATTAGGATAACTCTTGTGGTCATAGTGATGTCTGATCATTCCTTTATTCAAATCGCTTCCTTTCCAACCCGTTCTGATGAATGACAGCTTGCGGTTGCAGGATCTGATGATGCCAAGAAGGCTGCGAATCTGCCTGTTTTGAACTTTCTACCAAGATGCTGTTCCTCCACTAAGTTCTCGAAGCATGTACATCATTCTAGAGTAGATACTCGCTGCCCTTTCCCTACGATTCTTTTGCAGGACGCGTTGCCTTCCTATGCCATACTGATCACTACGAACCAAACCAACAACCACTTGTAAGATGTTATTTGCATTAAGTACAACACTTGTGAAACTAATGATGACAGCAAATAAGTGGCAGCAGCACCGTTGTGTCCGTTGATGAACCTTTTTGATTACGACCCCCTCCCAACTCTCATCGGAGCAAATACGACCCCCTGTCGAGGATTTCCTCGACCGTTATTCACCCTGGTTCGCACTACTACAGTGATTAAATTTAAGCGTAGGGTATGGTAGTTTCGCGCAATAAGCAATTACGTCGGCGCAGGGTAAGTAGATATGCGTAACATCAGAGAATGGCACCGTTTAATGAGACCAGAAGCGGTAACGCAGATACTCAAATTCGCTCCCGCATCACCACTGTACAGCGCGTGGCACAGCGTAATGTGCGCTCTGTCGCACCGCGGCTGATGGACATCCAAATGAGGAATCGGAGTGCAAATTAGGTTATTCATTCGATCAAAACAAACAAAAACGTGGATTTGTGAAAAATGGTGTCGAGTGGATTCACCAATATGTATAAATCTTGACAATTTTCTTCAACCATTTCTTCGAAAATGATAGAGTAAAGAAGTGTAAAGGAACATGCTGGGGCGATCACGTAGTGAGTGACGCGTAAGGAAGATGTGGGTTCAACCTTTTGAATTAAGAGCCTATCCTTTCTGGGTCACAAGGCTTCTGTCAACCAGGACATCTCTCGCGGGGAGGGTCCAGAAGAGCATACGGTCTGGTCGCACCCAGGGAAGGGGGCGTGTACGCTTGTCGTCTGCGTTCTCCTCCAGAGCCATCTCTCATGTGGTAAAGACATGTCAAGAGAAGGTGGCAGCAATTCTGATTGAGTTCATTGTTAAGCAGAATCGCGGAATAATTTCGAAGTTGCTCAATGAAATAGAGAAAGGTGAATTTTGATAAACAGCTAGGTTGAAGAATGACTGGCGCTCATCATTAAAGGGGCATAGCGATTTAGAGCATTTCAAACCACGGAAAGCATATTATTTTATTGTAGACGTTCAGGACTAAGCCTTAGAAGGGAAGGAGCCCCGGGTCCGTGAGCAATCTTGGTTTTCCCCGGGGGACTTCCTCCCCCTCCTAGGCTTAGTCCTGACCTGCTGACTAGGTGAATATTACTTTTCGTAGACGTTAATGTCATCTAGTACAAGAATACATACATTACACAAAACACCTGAAGAAATAACATAGGAAAAAAGCTGATAGCAGCTCGTAACTTTAAAGGACTCCTTGAGCCAAATTGGCATTAGAGCAGGCAGTGCACCTCTTAGATAAGCGCCGAATGACTTTCAAGAGTCTGTCATAGCCACTCGAAGAAATGAAACGGGTCTATTCCAGTTAGAGGGGCATGTGGTTCAGAGCGCTTAACAAATTTGAAACCACGTATAGCATATTCCCTTAGTATGAAGGTTTAGGACTAAGCCTCAGAAGGGAGGGAAAACCCCGGGTTCGTGAGCAATCTTCGCTTTCTCGGGGAGGGATTTCCTCCCCCTTCCTAGGCTTAGTCCTAGCTGATCACTAGGTAAATATTACTTTTCATTGACGTTTATGTTACAAAGCACAAGAACACATACATTATACAAAAACCAGAAGAAACAACGTAGGAAAAAAGCTGATAGCACTTCGTAACTTTAAAGGACTCCTTGAGCCAAACTGGCATTAGAGCAGACTGTGCACCGCAATGTCCTCTCAACTGGAACAGACCCAATAAAACTATTGATACACTCAATTTAAAGGTATGAACATGAATTTACACTCCAAATCTCGAAGTCTGATTGGGCGTGTCACCGGAAATGACGTGGCAGCCACCGCACTTGATAGAAGTTGCGCGGATAAGCTGCTTCCAACACGCTTTGCTGATATCTGGCGGAGTATTTATCCACGTGGCATCTATCAAGTGCGGTGGCTGCCACGTCATTTCCGGTGACACGCCCAATCAGAGTTCGAGATACCGACTGTAGATCCAAAGAAATACTTGCTGGTCATGTTCTTACTTATACATAAATCTACTCATATTTCACATTCTGTTCCTGAAATACTCATGCATGAATTCGCTCTTGCTTCATATTCTTTCCGTTGAACACTAGTCAAAATAGTCAAACTCAAAATAACTTGGAATTCGTGAGGGTGTGAAATTGCTGAAAGCACCAAATGAGACTGTTGAGCTTAGAAAATCGAAGAAGTCCCTGAGCAGTACAGTCTAGTCTAGTACAAACAGCCTAATCCGTTGAATGACAAGTTCCGCAAAGCTCGTAATCGGGAAACATGAAATATGAAATGAAATACGAACTTATGAAATGAATAAATAAATAAATAATCGTGAAACATAGTCACAACTGAAGGAAATGTTGTCAGCAGCTTTGCGCCTAGATCGCAATGGAGCAGGGAGACAACAGATCTGGCAACAGGCCAATGGCACCACTGGGACGGTTTACGGACTACTTGATTTTTCCTCAATGGTCCTGCCGCGATGGCTAGAGCACAGACGATTAGAGAACGGGTGAATGCCCTAGGACTAAGCCTTGGAGAGGAGAGGGACCCGGAGAGAGCGCAGAAAGGTTTGAAGGGCTGAGTTCAAGTAGTCGGTGGACCCACTGGGACGGCGTGCTCTTGCGTCTGCGCTTTGGCGTTTCAGAGTAGAAACGCAGAGACGGCGTTTGTGGAAGAGAAAGCAGACGATGCGACAAAACATGTGCATCGTATAACTGCCGGTTGACAGAAGTTCTAACAATAAGACCATTCGTTCTGCTGCGCATCTGTCACATTTGTTGGCGACTCCAGCACCAACAATTTTGACAGTTGCGCAGTAGAACAAATAGGCTTTCTAGGTTTTTGTATTTTTGAATAGAGCAATCGCATTCTTTCCATTCCTGTCTTTTTTTTTACTACAGGAGATGGGCCTCAGACCACCGATTGATTGAGGATATTGTATTATGCGGTCTCAGTGCACGTTTCGTACGATGACCATAACAACGTTAGTGATTATGATGTTGAATAAACGACTGACATTATAAATTTGGCGAATGCTGAGCGACGTCTTGCGGTACCAGCACACTTGAAGCGGACTCAATTTTCGACGCTCCCTGGATTGCGTCTCATCCATAGCTACGTCTGAAACCAGAAATTTCTCAGTTGAGATTAAATTCACCTGAACATGTGCAGTCTACGAGTTTATTATGTTAGGTGTAAGCATATGATTGGTGTCTTACGCCGTGCAGGCTCCAACAACTGTGTCTGCCGATTACCCATTTAGGTTTTAGCAGTCCTGACATACTACGATTGACATGACTTGTTGAAAGTGTCACATTGGGAACGTTGCTTACCGCATCCGCCCATCGAAATTCGCTGCTCGTTCTCTGAAAGAATTGGAGGAAGATCCAATCGATTTTTCACATCATGCTTGACGGCAGAGCTGATATCCTGAAAATAACACTATCTCGAACTCTTTGACCTAAAAACCTCAACAGTAATATTTGTGGCAGGCTTAGAATGGCAAGTTCACAGCGTGCTATTGGATAGTTCACCTAGGTAGCTACAAACACGTAGTAGCGCTGGTTCCTCTCAAAGGCATTAACAAGCTGAGCATAAATGTGCGTTTCAGTTCCAGTTCCATGAATGTGTTTAAGGGGAAATGCAGGAAATCTTCTCACTTGGACAATCAAACTAAGTTAATGGAGCGTCTAGTTATTTTCCTCAGTCACGGAAAACCTCAATTAGCTTTATGCATCAGGCTTAACGTTTGTCATGAACTAACCGCGTTTTACAATGATGATGCAAACCATACACAGATCAAAAAAGTTATAATCACCAACCTCTATCCATAGGTCTTTTGTTGGACTAGTCAAAACGATCGATTTCTTCCCTGAATGAAGAGTGAGAGCATCGTCGCGTTCTCCGATGACGTCATAGGAATCGCCGTCCTCCACCTGTAAGGGATATCGTAAGGCCGATGTCATAGTTTGCGAATCGAGCGATTCGCTAGCGAATCGCGTTGCGCCAGCGAATCGAACGTTGCGCCAGCGAATCGAACTTTGCGCCAGCGAGTCGAACGATGTACCAGCGAGTCGAACTAGGTACCAGCGACTCAATAGTGGCGGGACCCAACGTTTAAAGGAAGCCCGCCACTTTCAAACAGTGTCCACTGTCAAGTCCCGCCACTTTCAAACAGCGTCCACTGTCACGTGACACTGTTTGAAAGTGGCGGGCTTCCTTTGAACGTTGGGTCCCGCCACTATTGAGTCGCTGGTACCTAGTTCGACTCGCTGGTACATCGTTCGACTCGCTGGCGCAAAGTTCGATTCGCTGGTGCAACGTTCGATTCGCTGGCGCAACGTTCGATTCGCTGGCGCAACGCTCGGATCCAGCGATTCGCTAGCGAATCGCTCGATTCGCAAACTATGACATCGGCCTAAAACAGACAAGCAGGGTAAATACGGTCGAGGATTCCTCCATCGCTCTCTGCTGTGCGAGAGTAGAGCCGATAGTGAATGTACGCGCGGAGAGCACAGACGGCTCGCGGGTGGCGAGAGTGAATATCCGCGCGCGAGAACGTAAAGGATCAGGCGAAAATCCTCGACGTGCCGTTGAGGAATCCTCAAGCAATATTCACTCTGCAGACAAGGGTTCAAATAAGCAGGGTACGGTGCGAAGTAGATAATAAGATGAAGGAGTACAGGCGAGGTCACTGGTCCCGACTAGTGTTGTTACTAAAGTTTGGATTTTTACGAAGTTAAGCGATCCACTCAACATTAATCTGTTTCAGACTGAACTCCGATCCTACCACAAGGAAGCTGGGTTATCGATCCTACCACAAGGAAGCTGGGTTATGCTGGAGATGTGAGTCGAACACGAATTTGTGCTTGCAGGGCATGCAATGAAGTGATATTCCGCCGAGACACAGAATCCAAAACTTGTACAAGGCCAACAAAAGTCTGAACAAACCAGAAGTCCTTTCAGCTTCAGCTCGAAACTGATCGCGAACGGTGTCTCTTGCGAGCGATGAGCGAGCAGGACGATATCACTGAATAGAAGTAGCATTCGCGGGGAGAGACCACGTTGAGACCAACGCTGCACCCATCCGAATCTCAGGAGTCGCTAAATCACGGAACAAGTTGAGTTACTACTGAGCAACAGTTTTTTCAGTTTCAAAAATAAATAAAAAACACATTCTAAAAAGGAGCCAGGTGGTTAGGAGCAGATGTGACGATAAACTGATCGCCCATTGGGATGAAGTAGAGGTGGGGTGATGCAAAAGATAAATGGCCCAAAACCCGCGAAATGGGACCCCTACTCTTCCCACCGTTCCGTGTTGGAGCAAATCTCATAGGCAGGGTGGAAATCGTGTCGAGGACGTGGTCAAATCAGTACGACCCCCCCCTCAGATCGGGGTCTTGATACGACCCCTCTAACTTTGATTTGATGTGAATAAGCGAGTTCCATCAATGTACAGCAAAGCATTCAGTTGCAGCGCGGTTTATCCGTGGGTCAGATTTGCCGAAACCCCGCTCGAAACCGTCGAAATCTACACTCTCGATGAAAAGGTTCCATTCCCCATTTCATAACCTTTGGAGCAGTATGTGGTAGGGTTAGATAGAGCTGGATTTGCTACTACCGGGCAATATTGAAATTGATCTAAAAGCTTTACACTCGAAGAGATAGGGTCTCTCAAATTTTGTCGAGGGAGCGTCGAGGATGCTGAATTTTTCATGCGAGTTTTTGCCACTTAAAAGGCAATATCTCTCTAATTTCGAAGATCTTGAAAAAGCGAAGACAGTTTTGGAAAGCGGAAGGTTTGCGCTTTCTAACAGTATGTTTAGCTTCCTTCTACATTTCTAGTTGAGGAGATATTTGCGTCGAGGATCTATCGAGGATGATTCTCGGCCGCTCAAAAAGCCGCTCCCTTCTTCACCATTGCAAGTGTAATTCGTTGGCAACGCTCGAAATGTGTCTAGAATAATTCTCCCAACATAAGCGACAAGAAAAGGGCAATCGTCATCATCCGATCTCGTCTCAGTATAGGCCATGCATCCGACCTCCACTCAAGTTGTAGAATCGATTGAAAGGTGTTACACATATGATGACCTGTTGACAGAAACTGCATTGTAGTAAACACATTTCGTAACTCCTGTAACCTAAGGAACAGCTTCATTTGCCCAGGTCTTTCCAGAACTCTTGCCGGTTTGCGACAGCTCCCTAACAACTGCCTCATTTTCAACGAGGTATTAAGGGCGAGAGAGCGGGCCTAGATAAAGGAGGTGCCTCTACAGCACGTGTACACATTGCGGAGATGCACTTTCATTCCTTGTACTGCTTTCAAATACGTCCTTCTCATAAAGGTAAAGGAATGGAGCGACTGGACCTGCAAAGAATATTTTATCTTATGTTTTCTCACATATACATGCATATGATGCAACTTCTTTAGTTTGAGTTTCACGCCTGGGATTCGTATTTAGATCAAAGAGGTACCTATTTTGGCCCACTTCGGAATAACACTGTTAGTTCAAATACGAAACCGTTCATTTCCTCCACGTTCGCAAACAAATTCCTAATTTTCGACGGCGAAAATTGTACCTACACACAATACAACCTCTTTGCTCACGGCACTACTGATTGCACTAATTAGTGAGTGCCAGCAACCCTTCTATCATCCAAGCGAAGTGACAGCAACGCTTTCTATCTCGCCCTCTCGTCGCCGTTTTGTCGCAGCTGTGACGTCACCTGCACGCGCTCGCGTTCGCAGAGCTTTTCTCTCCCCCCCCCCATTCTCCCTTGCTATGCCTTGCGAGTTCTGTCGTGGGACCCCACGCCTACGAGAGCTCCCATCCAACTTCTTAAATAGGGCTGTTGCCCCTCCCTCAACTTTCATATGCTAGTGGTAATAATATACCAATTTGATCATGGGATTTGCCTTTAGCGACGATTTGCACTGAACGTATGTAACTAGAACTGTTTGAAGCTGTAGCTAAATGAGCTGCTTACCCAAAAAAACGGGTGCAAGTAAGCGTCGCGTCATGGAATACTTTGGCAACGCGATTAAGCTTAAATATCCCAAGGTCAAGTACAGTACTCGCCGTTTGAAATCGAAAATTCACGCGAATAACGCGAATCCTCGTTAATTTCGTGAATTCGTTATAAGTCGGGTCAGAGTGAAGTATTCCAGAAACGGAAAACACCGTTGAACTCAGCTCTTCAAGCGCTACAAGATGGTGCTAAAATATTTTCAGAAAGCTTGATTTCGGAATGCGCCATGCACTCGATTTCATCTCAAAAAGTAGTTGCTCGCATGTGATGTGTATATAATCCCGCTTATGCGGGCTAACCGCTACACACAAAGAAGGGCCTCAAAACTTACCCCAGAATGCGCCACGTACTCAATCTCATCCACTACATTGTGAGATTAGATGAATGTTATTTTCCGAATTCTTAGATCTTCATTTCGTTTTTAAGCGCTTACTGGCTTTACGTGTTCCCTCTGCTCTCAATATCCCATCCTCTGTATATCAAGTGGAATCTTTGAACAGTTCTCAGCAGGCATAGTGGGCCTATTATGTGACATTTTCCATTTTCAGAGGAGATGTTTTGCAGAAAGCTGTGAAGATAGCGAACAATTTCCTTCACTGTCGTAGACTACGGTCACTTGTCTGTAGGAATTATGTGGAAAACTCGGTCGCAAGTGAGCGTTCCTTCCGTGGTGTGGCCCCAAACATGCCTCCTCGTCATGCCCTTGTGGAAAGTTCAGATTTTTTGCATTTCCAGATGAACTCGCAGACCTGAAATGTGCCCCGTTAGCTTCCCCGTGAAAAATGCTATCGAATGATATGCATTACTTCCCCAGTTGAAACTTTGGTTTTTCACCGTTTTCAGCCTTCCCCTATTGCCGGATCCCACGATTACTGCCCCAAAATCTCAAAGTTTCATTTTTCGTCGAAACTTTGTCTATTGGGGTAATTCGATGCCCTGATTACGAATATGACATTCATTTTTGATGCTGGTGTCATTTGGCGCCATTTGGCGCCACGGCTGTTTTCACCAAATCTGCTGAAACTTCGTCATTTGGGGTTATTTGGGGTCCTGATTACGAAAACGACACCCGTTTTTGGCGCCACGCTGTTTTCACCAAATCTGCTGAAACTTCGTCATTTGGGGTTATTTGGGGTCCTGATTACGAAAACGACACCCGTTTTTAGCGCTGGCGCCATTTGGCGCCGTTTGGCGCCAATTTGGCGCCACGGCTGTTTTCACCAAATCTGCTGAAACTTCGTCATTTGGGGTTATTTGGGGTCCTGATTACGAAAACGACACCCGTTTTTGGCGCTGGCGCCATTTGGCGCCATTTGGCGCCACGGCTGTTTTCACCAAATCTGCTGAAAACTTGTCATTTGGGGTTATTTGGGGTCCTGATTACGAAAACGACACCCGTTTTTAGCGCTGGCGCCATTTGGCGCCAATTTGGCGCCACGGCTGTTTCCACCAAATCCGCTGAAACTTCGTCATTTGGGGTTATTTGGGCTCCTGATTACGAAAACGACACCCGTTTTTAGCGCTGGCGCCATTTGGCTCCGTTTGGCGCCAATTTGGCGCCACGGCTGTTTTCAACAAATCTGCTGAAACTTCGTCATTTGGGGTTATTTGGGGTCCTGATTACGAAAGCGACACCCGAGCCGTTTGGCGCCAATTTGGCGCCACGGCTGTTTTCAACAAATCTGCTGAAACTTC